AAAGAAAAACCTGTCCTACTGAAGTTGCAGGTTTGGAGGATTCACGGTGTGATTTAGAAAAATATTTGAAGTGCTTCAGCTGGAATGGCTGAATAAACTTTGAGGCTGCTAGCCTCAGGCAGGATGACTGTATGTTTTACCATGCCTTAGCCTAGTGCACTGCACAGTAGAAGTTCATGTAAAACAGTCTCTGCAGATCCAGAAGTGCATAGCTTATCATACGCTTTAGCTCCCTGAAGCTGCTTTAGTTTCAGTAAAGTCTAATTTTGTAAGAACAGCTTTCTTGGATTTCAGTTAAATTAGTTAAATATCAGAAGAAATCTACTAGCTAATGCTAGTAGATTTTTCAGAAGAGCCTAAGAGGACAAGATGCTCAAGTCCTACTGAATGTGAATTTGAAAAATCTCAACTGAAGCTGTTCTGATAATTCTCTTCTATTTCTCAATCCTTCTTTGAAGTATTTCCCATGCTTCTTAAATATGTTTACATGCTTTTTGTAGTGTGTCCATTTCAATAAATTACGGACTGATAAATATGGAAAGAAAGTTTGCTCTTTGTTTCCAGCTGTGAATGGGGACTCTGTTGCTGTTAATGGAAGTTGTCTGCTTAATTCACTTCACACTGCCCTGAAAATACATCCTAATTGTCCAGTCAAAATAAACTATTGGTGCTATTGCATTTCATATTTTTAAAGCATTCTACATCATGCTTGGGAGAAGAAGGAAGTGTTGAATCTCAGCTGTTTTGTTGCTCACACTTTCATTTTGTTGTTGTAACTTTTCACCAGCAAATCAGTTATCATTTTGACATTAGCTCCATGCAGCATAAAGAACTCATACTTTTCTTCCATTTACTTTCTGTAGTCCCAAAAGTCTCTTTCAAATTGATGGACAAAGAGAGAAATGCAACCAGATTACTTTTATTGACTGTTTTCAAGTCACTGGTCAAAGCGAGTGGTACTTGCTGAAAGCTTGTTCTCGCTGTGCTACAAGCAATGCCTGCCTGCTTCTCATGCAGTTGTCTCGGTGCTTCCTTCTGTAGATCCCTTAATAGCTGTGACTCTCTGAATCAGTCTATAAAGTCCCTACCTTGTTTGCATAGAAGCGTCTTTGCCATGTTTTGTTAGAAGGTAGCCTGTTTTCTTCTTTTTCCGGCAGTGGATAAAGATTATTACAATTTCTAGCAACAGCAATTAAAGCTAATTAGAATGCATTGCTTTGGCACTGACTTATAATCATGTTGGTCATGGCAGGTTCCTAGCTGTGTCTTGATGAAGAAGTTTGTTCTTTGACACATTTTTCACTCTGTGCTTGATCTACAGACAGGAGAAGATGTGCTTTTGACTTCTTTAGATGATGGTTTAAGTCCATAGTGATATTTCACATATAAATGCAAAATTCAGATGTGCTCATTTCCTAGCAGTACTCCATTGTAGGTGGATATATTAGATGACAACACCACTGAAGATAGTATGACTGCTTTTCCTGTTCAACCCACACTTTGTGAGTTAATCGGGTATTGTAGTAACTTTTTCTTGCACCTATTAATGTAAGCCAGAAATTCGTACAAAGTTTAACATTTCCATTTTTATCTTGGCATATTTACAGCACTAACAAATATTGCGCCTTTTGTTATTACTCTTTGTGAGTCAGCCTCATTGATATTATCAAAACACGGACAGCTCTGAAAATAATGCCTTGATTGGTGGTTTTCATAAGAGGAAGAACATCTATTTTCTAAGTTATTGGTTAAAAAAAAACCAGGCAGTTTTTTATTTGCTACTAGTTAAAATAGGTACTGTAGCATCCTAATTTGAAGTGTGCTTGCACTACTGCATACAGAGAGTGCAGTCATGTCTTTCAGTCCTTACACAGTCAAGTGGGCATATTTGCAAGCAGAACTGGTTTTCCATTAATTATTATTAAAATAGCTGCATGGAGCTAATGCCAGAATGATAACTTGTTCTTCAGAATGACATGCAACTATTCTAGCATAAACTTAACCTCAATTCTAGGACATATTTTCGACCTAATTTCAACAATATCCAGATGCATTTCAGGATGTTTTTCTAACAGGTCACTAGAATCCATTTAAATAGTTAATATTCTATGGCTTCTTTGCAATTTTTAAGAGACAATTGTAGTAGGATATGCATATTTCATTCCGCAAGACTTCTGTTCCCCCTTGATTTTAAAAATATGTCTATGTCCCTGAGTAAACACTTCTGAATTTAATGTTAGTATGACATCTTTGCTAAAAGCTTGATTGCTTTCTTTCTGTTTGAGTGGTTAAATTACTATCTTACGTGTAGGAACTGTGATTACTAATTATGAATTTTTATAACAATTTGTCTGCCCAACAATACTGTTTGTGATTTGAGACTTCCACTTCAATAGCCAGATTCCAAAAGAAAGCTTTTGCAAATAATTGGCCTTTCCAAACTTTCAGTTGTTTTTCAAGTGAAGTAGGGAATCTCTTGTCCCATGTGATACTTTACAGAAAGCCTTGATCTTACTTTTTTTCCAAAAGTTGCATCACAGTCTTGCCATGGAAGGAGCATGTATGTAGGGACATGTATGAACTTCATACTACATTAAAGCAAAAGATCACTGCACTGCAGTTGGATAAAGGACAAAATTTAGGTGTTGCTAAAGTGGCAGAAGGACGTGTGTAATGCATGACAAGATAAATTTGTCCTTTTTTACCTGGAGTTATTTGAATTTCAGGACAGTAGCTTTGTTTCTCTATTTATTAATTTCATATGTAACAACTTCTTTCTTAGTTCCTAACTGAAGCGTAATTCAAATTCTAATCCAATAAATTTTTAATTCTAATAATAATAATAATATAATAATTTTCAATTATAATAATCCGATAAATTTTTGGTCATATGTTAAACTGTGTTTGCCAAGAGGAAAATGAGTGTTTGTGGATAGTTACTGCTGCTCAGGTAGTGAGTAGTAACACCTTAAGTCAAAGCAATCTCTCCTCTGTAGAAAGGGATAATTACTATTTTGATGGGAGCATTTTGTAGACTGAACATTTGAATGTTTCTGAAACTTTTTGATAAGTTGCAGTAAGATGCTCTCTAGATGTGCAAAATGTTCTTTACATTCAGAGCTGCTCGTTTTCCAGAAACCTGACTATATACACCTGCTGTTTGTCTCCAATTGCGGATTATCTCATTCTAAGGATTTGTGTCACGGAAGTTGCTCTGTGAATATGATCTCACTCTTTTCCATCAGTGGAACAAATGGCCTTTGAAGCATTGGTTCACTTAGCGTTGGAGGTTTAAACATTTGGTTTAAACACTCTGTTCATGCCAAACTATGTCAGTATGGAAAATATACAAGGCATCCTGCATGTGGTCCCATTATGGATTAAAGAAAATGGAAAACAATTCAGAAGGAAAGTAACTGGAATTAGAGTAATGCTTTCAGTGCTTTTCTGCACATTCTGTCTGAAGGTTCCTATGTAACCTGTCTGTTTTCTCACCTTTATACAGCAAGTTAGCCTTGTCTTTGAATCCTAGTCAGCATGAAGTAGGTTGAGTATTTTTATTATTGAACATTATGGTGGGTTTTCTCCTCCCCCGAGTTCTCCCTCTACACAATGTACAATAGTCTGTGCTAGGTCCACATGTAATTACACACCCAGAGCTCCAGGCTACTGTGGTGATTGAAATATGCTTTTCTACAATGCAGAGAGCAGCTGTAAATCATATTGTGGGTATGGGATGTTGGCCTAGAACCTTTATAATTTAGGAATTGGTTTGGGTTTGTTTTCTTCCTGCCACACCTCAACTGTGCCATATGTTTTTGTCTTCAGCACTGTTGTTTTCTGAAGGAATTACTTGGCTGAAAACCTAATGTGATTTTTGACTACATGTTTAGGTTTGTAAAAGTATGTTGCAAGTGAAAACTTACAAGGTCTTCACCTGCTACACCTGCATTTGAAGTACCTGTTTCTTTAAGGCCTTAAAATTTTATATCTTTAAGGTATGCTGTGCTTTGGAGAAATTTCATTATCATCTTTTTTTCTGTACTACCAAAATGATAACTCTTGGACACATTCACATATGATGTGAGAAATCCGCCAGTGTTTAGTTTAGATACTTCATTTTCCATACATGGGGCTCTGACAGCTCATTTTTCTTTGATGAGGCAACCTCAGAGGCTATTGATTCTCCCTATCTTTGTACGTAAGATAGCTGCCTTTTTTTTTTTTTTTTTTTTACTAGGGCTGTCAGCCTCTTTTCTTCATCTGAAGTTTAGTCATAAAAAAAGTTCACACAGAAATTATGGATAGATGTTTCAGTAGAGGACTCCAGAAAAAGGTTTTTTTCCAAGATTCTCAGCACTACTTCTAGTTAGATTAGAAAGATGTTTGCTTAAAATAACTGTCACCTTACACTCCTTTCATTCAAAGGATTACAACCTATTAAGAAATAGAAATGAATATCTTTTCTATACTGACTATCTATGTTACAGGTGCTCCCCTGAGAAATTGCCATACACCTGTGTTTTCATGGCTTGACAACAGGATGGATAGGACTTTCCTTGTTGAAACGCTGCTAACCAAAGCTATGTTAAGAATCCATCCCTCTCATGGAGGCTGTCAAATGGTTGCTTTGGGTACTGCACACCACAGTACCGCAAGCTGTTGCAAGATTTGGTGCAGACCTCACAAAGTTCACAAGGCAGTAGAGCAGATGCTTTTCACTACAGTTATACTGACCTTAGAAAGCTTCGTAAGAAGTGGCTCAAGCTGACAGTGCTGCTTTATAGTTGTATATATGTACATACAGAGTACTATCCTTACTATTTCAGTAGGAAATCCAAGTTCAGGTTGCCAGTGGCTCCCACCTGGCACTGGTTTGTATGGGCTGTAACTCAGGCAAGCGGAAAGCATGAGTGTACTGGGGCAGAAAGAGATGGCAGGAAAGAGCTTGGTCTTGGAACCCATCATCTTTCTGTAGCTGTTTCAGTATTTCTGTATGTTCATGTTTGATGCAATTATATCTTGTTCTATTTCAGTAATTTGCTGGCTAACTCCTTTAATTGTAACTGCCATTTGGCCTGGCTGGGAAAATGGTTGAGGAAGAAGAGAATTGTCAGTGGAAATCCACGCTGCCTGAAACCCTTTTTCTTAAAGGATATTCCGATCCAAGATGTAGATGTCCAGGACTTCACCTGCGATGGTAAGAAAATCCAATTTGATTTGGCATTTATGATAATGTTGGCACCTCTGTGAGGACCTCCCTTCCTATCAAGCAATAGTGCATGGTAAACATTTCAGTTGAGTGATGAGGAAGACAGCCATCTAGGGCTGAGGATCATTGTTCACTATCAGGAGGTGGGTTTTTTTTCTTGATTTCCAGTTTCTGAATTTCTACTATCCACACCTAAATATAAGAATGAGTTTATTATAGACAAATGCTCTGTTTTGTGTAATCCTAATATAATCCTGGCCCTTCCTCCCACTTCCTTATTCATTCACTTAGTTAACACTCTGAAGCCAGTGAGAACACTGCTTGCTTGGAGAGTCTTTTAGTTTTGGGTACCATTCAGTTTCACCAATAACAGGTATGAATACAGGGAAATAAAATAACTTAGATATTATTTGAAATGACTCAGTGATGCTTAATGCTTTGCCAGGTCCATACAGGTTTAAAAAAAAAAAAAAAGGAAAAAAAAACCCAAACCAAACAAAAAAATCCTGACATTTCTTTCATTGTCCTGGTAGTTCTTTGTTTTCTGATCAAGCAGATTTTAAAGAAAATAGTAAGGAGAAAAATTGACTGATGAATGCACTGCTAACTTGACTCGTAGGCTGTGATTGCCTGTTAAGACCAGATATGCTGGAGCTTCACTTAGTCATGGCTCTAAAGAGACCATAAGTGTGATAGAAGTTTCCTGCTTATAAATTAATTCCTGTCCTAGTCAAGCAACCTGGCAACAGGCCCAGGTGCTTGGGCTCAGAGCTCAAGGGACCCAAGTTTAGTCATTAAAGAATGATAAAATCCTGATCCACAAAATGACATTCCACACTTGGGAGCTTTCTCTGTCATACAGTCACTCAGACAACCGTGGTGAACGGAAGGTAAATGGTGGCAGGGTGTAAAACACAGAACGTAGGGAAAATTGAATATGCTGAAGAACCATGCTCTTTCTGCAGGTTCATGAAAGACTTTGAATTTTGTTTCTGGTCATTAAGTTCATTAAGCTCAGCTGGGGAGAAAAAGAAAAGAAACTCTTCCCTGTTCTTCTGTAGGCTGGTCATGCTTTTCCATCCCTCTGAACACAAATGATTCCCTACCCATACATTTATGAGTAATTTTGTTATCTTGTATCAGGACTTCTAGTCTTATTCTTTAATCTCTATGCTCATGGGTACTGCCAGCAGAGAGAAGAAAGAAACAGATCTGTCTCAATTAGTCCTTGTATCAGTTTATAAAAAACAAAATAAGGCAGCACATAATGACAGCTGGCTGTGTGCTCTTCAATTGCAGCACTGTGTCTCTGTGACAGTCAACTCAGGCTGCTTGTACTCACAAACAGTTGTGTGGTTCCTCTCACTGTCATCTAGAGAATGTACCACTAAGTGTTTGCTCTCATATATGTCCTGATACTGTAGCATGCATTTGCCTTATGTTTTGCAAAGCCTGTTGCTTTTGGGGAAAATCCATGCTTTAATGTTCTTAACTTCAGAGAGTTGGTTTCTTCTCCAGAAACCCTATTGTTTTTCTATGACGAGACTTAATCTGCTGTTTATGGCCCATTGGAACCATTTTTGGAGAAAGTAGATATTTTTATGTGTGCACAGATGGATCGCCAGCAGTTGGAAGTATGCTGCACAGTTTGTTGTTTGCCTGGTTATCCTTGTCAAAAACAATGAGATTTTACAATTCAGATGATAAATGAAGTGCCAGGCTGACTTTAAAAGGTAAAAAATTAATATCTGAAAACTGAATTTTACAAAAATCTTCCTAAAGCAGAGTAGATAGTGAATATCATCTGTGTAGATGAATTTAAGGGCAATGTTCTGGTCAAGTTCTCCATTTCAGCTAGTACGGTTGGGGGGGGAGGGGGGGGATTTGGGATTCACATAACTGATTTTCCTGTAATTTGCAAAATTACAGAGAAGTAGATACTCTTTAGAAAAAAATATTTATTTAAAAATACTGCTATTTGATTTTTGAACTGTTGTTCATGTTACCTAAAGAACCTATATGAAGGCAGGATCTACTTTAAAATATTGTGATGGTTGCCATGGATTCAGAGATGTCCCTCCTTGGTCCTTGTAAGCAGTTATCTTCAAAGTGCATGACTTCAGGTTGTAAAGCTGACTTCCTAATACTCCGTTTCTCTTTTTCTGCAGGTAATGATGAAAGCAGCTGCTTGCTTTCACCTCCTTGTCCTTCCCAGTGTACCTGTGTGGACTCAGTGGTACGTTGCAGCAACAAAGGGCTGCGGATATTGCCCAAAGGAATTCCCAAAGACGTGACTGAGCTGTAAGTTACCTTTTACCTAGCTCCTTTCATGAGAAGTTCATGAAATTATATCATAGTGAGGCTTTATAGGGCCTTGGGAGTTTTGTCTTTGACTTTAGGGACTGGTGTTTTGTGCTTTGGTGCTTTCCATTTGTTTTGACTGTTATTTTTATAGTTATTTGTCCCTTGACTGAATACATTGCTCTGTAATGGGAATAGAGTTTATCTCTTCTTGTACCCATTAATTCTTTTTTTTTATGCATATATTAGTATCAAATAATCCTGTAGTGCTTCTGAGAAGCCTAAGCTCACAACAGGCAGTTTGAAAGGATGATGAAAATATGTTCCTGACTTACGCAGCTGTGAGCTAACTATTCTCTGAGGACATTAAGAAAAGAGAAAAAGAAAGCCAGTGGTGGAAACAAACAATTGATTCTTTTCTACAAACCTCATGAAATGGCTAAAATAACAGATAATTAGATTAAATTGCAAAGCAAATTCATCCTAGTTGAGAACTATCTTTCTAGTCATCTTTTCATCTACCCCTTGCTATGACTTTATACTGGATTTTGGTTCTTTCAATGGAAAGAAAATACATTGGTGGAACTACTTGGCTTAAACAGCTGGCAATAGAAATACTGAGCTTTTCCCCTTTGCGTCCTTATTCAAATCTATCCCAGGTGAGTCATTACGGAAACTTGTTACATTCTCATCAGCATGTCTGTGTGAAAGTAATTGGTTGAGTTAGTTGGTATGTTCAGTTAATTTTGTAATGAATTAAAATCTGATTCTGCTCTTCTTTAGTATCTAGTATTATTTTTATTATTTAGTAACAAGGCAGCTGATAAATGAGATACGTATCTTTTTATTCCCTTCACAGTGGGAGAATGGGGGCACTGTTTTTACCAGTGTTGTAGTCAAATACAGGAGTTTGTTGTTGAATGAGGAGTGTACTGAAAGTGTATGTGGCAACTCAAAATAACATGGAAATTTTGTGTTAATGGGTACATCCTCGGAACACTGTTAACCAGGACATGGTTAATACTGGTTTGAATTAAAAGCCAAGTCCTGGCCTGTATTCCCTTATATATTGCTGTCAGTGAAAAAAAGTCTGCAAGGTTTCTGCTTTATTCTTGTTCAGGTTTCATTGCATTCAAGTATGACTTGCCAATAGTAAGATATCACAGATGTTACTTTGATTTCCACTGGCACACTGAGAAATTTTTATGTTTAAATTTTGCATATCGAGTTTTACCGATACCGTCTGATACACTGATGACATAACTTTCACAAAAAGAGTGCAATTAATCTCACATTCTTGAAAACTGCTATATTTCTTAAGCTATTTCTTGCAAATGAGGCAATAGCCTGGAACTGAGCAGTCTGAGTTCATAGGAGTGTACGTGACTGTCGTCTTCAGTAGGAGCATCTTGGCTGTGCAAGGCTCTAGTTTGGCTTTCTGCTTTCGGTCCAGAAATGTGTCAGCAGAACACAGTCAGCCATGGACTGGCTGGCTCTGAATATTTCATGTTCTGCAAATGTAAACTTGAATCTGTCCCAGCTGTCTCAAAATTCAATCCTGATCTCACTCTCCTCTCAACCAGTGTAAACTAAGCTCCTTATTTGTATGTATACCAAAAGATGAGGTGCAGCTACTGAAGCTAAAAATTTCAGGAGTTTGTGGAAGCTGCGACAAGAATGAAATTAATAAATAATAATAATTAAAAAAAAAAAATCAACCTTACTGGCCTTCCTTCTGCTTCCAGATCGAGATAAACATATTGCCCATAATCTGTGAGGGTCTATATCATCTAGGTCCCAAGTTGCTAGTGTGAACTTAAGTATTTTTATTGTTCTGTGTTTGAGAATTGTTATTGCCGCTGTGGTAAACAGTATCTTCTGTAGAACCCCACCTCTTGCCTCATTTTGAGGACAGCTAAAACTTGACAGAGAGAACCCAATAGCTTTCTGGGCAGAGGGTGACAGAGATTTATCTTGTCCAGTCTATTTACACTCCTCACACCAGAACACCCGCATAGCCCTAGGGCAGTCCTAGGTCTCTTGAACTATGTCCTAAGGCTGGAGTACCTTCTTAAAGCTGTTTTGTTTCTGTGGTAGCAGTGGATATCTGTTTAGCACCTGAAACCAGAAAGCCCCTAAGTTACCTGCTGCTGAAGATATCATGGCTTTTGCGTGGCTAGAGAGCCACAGCAGTCTCCAGGGCGGGGATGCCTTCACCTTCCTCACTGGTACAGCGGTCACAGGTGCTCAGATTAAAAACCCTTCCCCTGTGTGACCCCAGCCCACCTGCCTTTCTCCCCTTCCACGCTGTCATGTCGCAGACCTCTGGGCAGTGTGCTCGGGTCTCTGTGCTCCCACCAGGCACTCGCACAAAACCATGGTCACTAAGGACAGAGGTCATGGCAAGGAGAGGACAAGGGCGTAAAGAGGCTCCTGTCCTGGTAGCCTACAGCTCCCTCCCTGCGGGAGGCCTGAACGGTGATGTGAGGCAGGGAAGCATTTTATTTTGTATGAATGCACCAGTCTGACATTTATAAACTTCCATTACTGGTGTATTCATTTACAAGGCACATTAGCTGCACTGCTTTTATTAAACTGCGATGTGTTTTTATACAACATGGTTTAAGAAAAAGAACTGCCATGTATCTAGATAAACCAGTCTGTTACTAGGCTGACTATAGCCTTCTCAGAAGTTCTTTTAAATTCTTTTAGAGGTCTTGAAAGAATTTCTGGTTTAGACTATTTTTTTGTAACAGGTATTAAATAGCAATGTGCAAAAATGAACATACCTCTTGCACAGGCACGTAGGGGAAAATGCTGCCCTTTGCTGGGTCAAATTTCACTGTACCTAAGCTCAGCAAAAAGGATCACCAGCAATGTTTTATTACATGGTAGACTGGAGACATAGGCTAGCTCCTTCCAACTTTCTTCCTGAGTTTCTGTTTTGGATGTGTATATAGACAAAGCATGTGAAAACCATTATCTCCTTCATATTTACAGCTTGGGATGACAGGAGACATCCCTGTGTTTGGTTTGTACCACCCTTGGGAGGAGGGATTACCTTGGCAGGGAAGGCTTCCATCTAGAATAAAGTTGAAAAGATCACTAAGTCTCCTGGCTTTTTAGAGTGATGATGATGCAAGAAATTTCTATTTCCCAGCTATTCCTTCACATAACCCCGTCATCATGGGCAAGACTTCTTTCAGTTTCTTGGGAATAGGGAAACATTATGTTGTTTCTTGCAAATTCCTTTGCTGTATATTTACATACTGCCTACATTTTTTTTCCCCACTGTTTGCTTGCTCTGAAGAGAAGCCTTGTTTTTTTGAACATACTCAGTTTTCTAGTCCAGATGTTCAGAAGTAAAATGTTCATGCAATGAGCTAGTTTGGAACTTAGCCTTGCTGCTGCTTAGCGTTTCAGGCTTTCCTTTTCTCCTCCCCCCCGCCCCCCTCAAGTCTGTTTGAACTAAGTTTCCCATGCTCTTTTTCCTGTTACATATTACATATTACCTCTGTGTGTGAACACCAGTTTTTTCTTTTATGGACCTACAGCAAATAATATTTTGCACTGGGGAAAAACATTGGAGGAGGCAATTATGTGGACGGCGTGTGCATATAATGAGTATTTTATACAATATTTTATACAATATTATATACTATTTTATACAATAACCCTTAACACAGACTTCAGTGAATTTTCCTTTGATGGTAAAGGACAAAAACAATTTAGATCGAAGCTTAGGTTTACATGGTCCTGTGTCATAAAAGGTTTTACAGCCTGCGTAATTCGCTGCAGAGGAAAGTTCTCCCATTGAGAGAATGGATAGGTCTGTAGAAGGACATTTTAGTTACAGCTGAAATAGAGGACTTAAAACTGCATTTCAAATCTGATCATTTAGAAAAGGTAAATAGTATTAATACTATCAAATAATGCATTCGATGACTGATGAAGTTTGAGTACATATCAGAAAGGTGACTTTAGCGTTAATGGAGACTAAAGGTAAGTTTAACTTTAGGGCCTTCACTTTTCTCTCAAACACGGCCGTGTTTCTGTGTATCAAACCTGTAGGTTGTGGTCTGACATAAAAATGCAGCAAAATCCAGTCCAAATTCACCAAAACTTAAGAAAGTTCAAGATCCAGATATGTACTTAAATCCATACTTGAATTTTGTTTCTTCTCAATAAACTATAATTGAAGCTCTCAAAATTCATTCTTTGAGGATGTTTCATCTTTCACAGTCCAAATCTCTTCTAGACCACCATTTTTAGGAAATGAAGCTTGCCTCAGAATTTTAGGATATTGGGTATCTGCATTAAAAAGTTTAGACTATGAGTTAATTTTAGAGCTGCATAAAATTGTCAAGTATCATTTTTTTTTTGTAATGTAACATTCTATGTGAAACATTTAAAGAAATTAAAGGAAAGGCTTTGTGCCTTTTCAGTTACTGCCTGAGAACTGATTTCTCTCTCCAGTTTCTTCTCTTAGCACAGATTGCTGCTGTGAGATTGACTTTATGGCTGAATAGACATTTCAGTACAAAAAAGGTTCCAAGCGATTCAAATCGTTACATGATGCTTTGGCACCTTGCACTGGTTATATCACCTCCAATCCAAGTTGTTTCAGTATAAAAATAGACAAGTTGGAAAAAGAACAGCTGTCATCTTTTATGCATAGTTTTAAATTTTTTATATGTGATGTTAGTGTGTGTTGAAGGTGCTGGATGAGCCCTGAGGCTGCTGCAGGCACTGGGCTGTGAGAGCCGGCACAGTGGGTACGGGCATGGAGCAAGGCATGGCCATGCCCTGCAGTGCCAGCCATCCTGGCCAAACAGTTACCTGTCTCCAGCACTCAGACATGTTTTAGGAGAAGCCTTTCCTGGTAGGTAGTTGGTGGCGTTTTATGAGAACATAAACACATGTTTTTGGTTTGGCTTGGTTTTTTTTTTTTTAATTTTGTCTCTGGTAATTGCTTGTTGGTTACAAGTCATTACTGAGAGTTCAGGATTCCCAGCAGCATTCATGGAGTAAAAACCAATTTCCAATCTGATATTTAACTACAGAATATAGAGATATTAGGAGGCAAATGAGGCTCTGTTTTGGATACTAGTCAGTGTGTCTATATTAAGGCAGCTGACACCCACTCTTGACTCTGACTGCCTGTATATTAATAACTTGACTCTGAGCATTAAAATTAGACATACATTTTTTTCATTCATGCCAGATTTTCTTTGCATACCAGATGTCATGTACATCATCTTCCTTTGGCTAAGGATTGAAAAGAATTAAAAATACAATCTTCCCTCCACTTCATTCTTTCGTGGTTTGATTTGTTTTGTTTGGACAGGGGGTCTGTAGCTTCATCCATGTTTTTTTTATTTATGTGTATGAATACATAAATACACAGAGTTTTGTAACTGGGCTCTGCCCCTTCACCCTCAGGAATAATTCTGTTACTCACTATGTCCAGCTTCCAGCCCTCTTGCAGCCCCCATACATCATTTTCAGCCCAGCAAGGTGCCGAGCTGCTGCCCCCACATCTCCCCCCTGCTCTGACAGAGGCCTGGCCCACAGTGGGCAACAGCTCACCTGCAGCAATTAGTTCCTTCAAATGTTGCATCCCAGATCCTCCTGATTCTTGGTGTGCTCTTATGCCCTAAAAGCTCTGGTTATTTCAAATTCATTGCGCTTAAATGTGCTTTCAAAAAGAACGCCTTGGTGGTGAATTGTTCTTACGTATGCATGAAAAGTATGTTGTCAGTAATTTTTCAGTGTAAAATTGTGTTTGTTCAGAAATTATACCACTGGTATAAGTATTGCAGCTATATAACCATCAAATTCCTTGCATTACAAATCCAAAGCTATTCAATAAAAGCTCTGGTTATTTCAAATTCATTGCACTTAAATGTGCTTTCAAAAAGAACGCCTTTGCTTAGAAAACACTGCCATTCTTTGTATAATGTGATGAAAGGTTTAACTAAAAGCTCTGGTTATTTCAAATTCATTGCGCTTAAATGTGCTTTCAAAAAGAACGCCTTGGTGGTGAATTGTTCTTACGTATGCATGAAAAGTATGTTGTCAGTAATTTTTCAGTGTAAAATTGTGTTTGTTCAGAAATTATACCACTGGTATAAGTATTGCAGCTATATAACCATCAAATTCCTTGCATTACAAATCCAAAGCTATTCAAAGCAGATCTTCTGTAGGAGTTTAACTCCAGGGGTCTGCCTGTCTATGTTAGTCTGAGTAATGAAGCACTGGGTTAAAATGTGCACCCTTGACTTTTGATTGCACCAGTAAGCAAAACAGGGGAAAAATCTTGGCTAGCCATCATCAGTTTGTTCAAATTGCAGGCTGTTTCATATTGGGATCAACAAGAGAATATCCTGAAAATAAATTTCTGAAGATTTCAACACATCGCAAGAGTTGAGTCCCCTTTCCTAAAAGAAAATCATATATAGCTTCCAAATACGGAATACATGACCTGGTTTTGATTTCCTTTGGAAATCCGTTGGATTTTACATTTGGAATAAAGACTGGAACCTTAACGTATCCTCATGCATAGGTTTAAGATTTGCAACTTTCTGGGATGAAAGAGAAGGCGCAGACTCCCTGCGGCTGGCTGCATCCATAGCAGACCATGACTGGGGAAATGAGACATGATTTGCCCTGTTTAAATAGTAACATGTGTGTTGAATTCTGAGGATCCTCTGTGTAGCAATTTATGGTGTGAATTCACCAAGGAACTCCATTTTCAAAATAATTTATAACAAATTTAGTCAAAGCGAAGCAAGTGACTTTACACTTGCTGAATATGAATATCCATGGGAAGTGTAAATGTGGCATAACTAACCCATACTCTGCTTTGTGAAAATCTGCATCAGCAGAGCAGCTGTCACTTCTTTGCAAGGGCTAACTGTTTACTGTGCAACACTCTCACTCGATGCGTGTGATCTTTGTGAATGGAGAGATTACTTTGTTCAATAGGTTTTTTTCATTAAGGAAGGATTTTGCTTTTGGTTAAAAATTCAAAAGCCTGTAGTCCTGCTCGTCCAGCCTAATCCTAGCGGGAGCTAGGTCAGCTCCACCGCGTGCTCGGAGGTAACTGCCTTGGTGGGATCCTGTGCACGGGCAGAATGGATAACCATGAGGCTGGGGGAGTTTAGTTGGAGTAGTTCAGTTGAAAAGAGAGCTGAAGCAGCAGAAAATGGTGAGAGGGCCTTGTGCTGAAATAGAAGGGGAGGGAAATGTGACAGTACTATGTAAGAAATTCTGTTAGCGTTTATAGATTTTATTTTTAAATTATGTAAAAATAAAGTTTGTGGGAAAATTTTCTTGGATTTAGTTTACACAAATATCTGTGTTGTTAATGTAGAGCGGGAACATATAGCACAGTAACAATCGATTCTTATTGTTTGCTATAGTAAATGTAGAATAAGGAGGTCTGTTGCCAAAGAAAAGGAAATTGTGTGTGTGTGAGATAAAAATTCTTAACGTGATTGTCAGATTATATTTTCAGCAGTAGAGGCAGCACATTAAGTGTTCCGGTGTCTGTGGGCTGCATTTCCTGGCTACGCTTGATTATCTTTCAAAACATACCACGTCAATTGCATTGCCCCATGTCTGCCTTAGGAAAAATCCCCCAAAGTATCTTGTAAGGAAGCGAAATATCATTTCATCTTTTATCCTCACCTGTGGAGGGAGAAATGCCTTCCTCCTACACAGTGTTTTCTGAGAAGGCTGGATTTGTTTCCCAGGTAGATAAGGCTTCTGACAGCTGCTGTGAGGATCACCTTGACAGTGTCATGGCACCACAGTGCTCAATTTCCATTGGGGCCTTATTACTTTGGTAGCTTCCAGGGATGCAGCTTCACCCAAAAGCCAAGGTTAAGGAAAAGAACTCCAGCTCTGTCTCTATTATGTTGTAATAAGCAGGAAAATTCCCACATCCCGTTGCTACCATAGGCCAGCTGTGGAGTCTTGACTACGCATGCTGTCTTCTGGGCAAAAGCGTGGAAAGCATTATATTTGTTCAGGGTTTTTCCCTTTGTTACTGAATGTTCATGTTTCTTCCATGGAGGAAAACTGCAAAATACAAGCACTGTGTGCTTGTATGAGGACACAGGATTATCCCAAAAGGTGTTAACCCTACTGTGCACGTGTCTGAATAGAGACATATTCAGTGGTGTGTCAAACAGCTTCCACGCTGGAAGCACAAGCTATTTTATTAAATACACTTAGTAAGAGGAGCCTGTATTCAAAGAGAACTTGGTCTGTGGTCTTCAATTTGTACCAAGTTTTCCTCCTGTACCGCCGTACTGTGGAAAGAAAAGGTAAGGAGCATGTATATGCCATGGTAGGAATCGCAGTAATGGATGTGGCATCAAACTCACAGATGTTTATGTTGACTGGAATGAGACTTTTTGCAACACAGAGACCTGGCAGTGCAGCTCCTGTTCCAGTTCTGGCTGTACAAGGAACTTACATGCACAAGACAAAAACTTTCCTAACAGGGTTGGTCAGCGCTCAGCGTTCTTGTAGAAACTTGTTAAAGGTGACTTTAAGTTCAGAGCATAAGCCATACAATTTTTCTCCCCTTCTTCAGTTGCTGTCATAAAAGAACCACATGGTCATTTCTGTTTGCTGTGGGCCAGAGATCCTTTATTCGCTTCCAAGTCTTAAAAAAAATAAAAATAAAAAAATCAATGAGCTACTGTCACGCTTTGCATGTGGGATAATTTGCTTATAAAAGAGAAACTGTTATAGTTTCAAAGCAATGAATCAAAGATAATTTCCTTATTGACTGACTTTATATTTTCCTCATTCATGGTGCAGATTGAGTGACGGGAGTTCTTGTTAACATGTTTGTGTAATTGTCAAATCTGACTTTTTTTTCAGATACCTGGAAGGAAACCAGCTGACTGCTGTGCCAAAGGGGCTTTCCACCTTCAGACACCTGACACTGATGTAAGAAACATGTGGTTTCAATGTCAAGAAAATTACGTGATTCTTTCTACACTGTGTCGTAGGTGGAACATAAATAATTAGTATTTGGGGGGAAAAAAAACCACAGAACCCAAAAACCTTCCGTAATTTGAATTTGGAAAGAATTTCATAGTGGCTGCTGCTACCAATAAGTGTGGAGAAAGAGTGAGGTGACTGAAAGCACCAGAGACTCTTCCTCTGCAGGAGCTTCCAGCCTCTGTGAGGGGACGAAACTCTCACGCAGGCTGCTACAGTTTCACTTGGCGGATTTATCTATGCAAGACTGTAAAGGTCATTAACAGAGGAGATGGTATTAATTTGTTCTAGATGAGGCAGTATTTATAATGCTAAGGCAATGAAACTTTGCATAGCTGTTTCTGCTATGAACACTCATACAGATAGAGACACAACTAGACTTTGTTCAGTAAAATGCTCCCTGAAATACACAGGAGTGAAATTTTTTGGCTGAACTATTTATCAGAAATTTTTAAATGCTCTTTGAATCAACTGTGTAGATACTCAAGTCAAATGAGCAGAACAGCATCAGACAAAAACAACATGGAGGGAAAACTGGAATCCTCTGTTTTAAAACCATGTTTTATTTCAAAACATCTCTAATTTTGTTTTTCAACGGAGAGCAACAACAAACCAAAACATTCTCTTTGAGCCTAAAAGAGTTTTTAAGTGAAAAATGAAATTTTGTTCTAGTAGTTGTCAACGTGAAAAACATATGGAAATGCTATGCCTGTAATACATTGCAAAGCAAGTTGGTACAGTAAATATTCACCCATGCTCATATCATTTATGAATTTATCCTTCTTCAAAAATTTTGCTTGTATTCAATGATTTATTTTTTTTTTTGAACGCTATATGCTGGAAATATGCCTTAATATTTCTGAGGCTTTTTAGGGAAGTCTGATGTGCTTAGCTTTTAGAGCTTATTCAAAGTTGGTTAGAAACTATATCAATTGATAGTATGTGACTGTTCAATTGCTTCAAGCATTTTGCTGTGTGGATATTATGTAATCTTTAAAAAAATTCTTATTTCTCAATTCATACATATAAGTGATATTTTGTGTGTGTTTTTTCAGTGATTTGAGCAACAACAGCATAAGCATATTGGCCAATTACACCTTCAGCAACATGACTCAATTATCAACACTGTAAGTAGTCCAAAGTTTTGATGAGAGTTCTAATTGCTTTTCAGACATCATCTTAGCTGTTGAACAATTAGTATATATCTTGTTACTTAAGCATGTGGCTTTCCATGCTTCTCTGTGGTTGAATTAGTAGTGAAATAATCAAAGAAAATACAAAGTTTTAACTCTGTTCTCTCATTCTCCTAGCATCTTGAGTTACAACAGACTTCGGTGCATTCCAGTCCACGCGTTCAATGGGCTCAGGTCTCTTCGAGTGCTGTAAGTACCACTTCTTCAATGCAGCTGAATTGCAGCTTATTAGAATGCTGTTGATGGCAGAGAGGCTTTTAATGAGCAGATGGCTTTCACTTGATCCAGTAGTCATAAATATTTTCACACGATTAGCTTCAATGTACTTATACTTAGGTGCAATATGTCCAGTAATGACTAGAGCAGGTGAATGCTAAACTTTGAAAAGAAGCAATTACCTATTTGCAGGATGAATGACTTTTCTCTGGTAGTTCAGAAACAAGAACTATCATGAAAACAGGCCTCCAAGAGACTGCATAGGATCTGTTCGTCTCTTCTACTTGAACAATATTTGGGTGCCCCACAGGAAAGGACTTTTCTCTTTGTAAAAACTTCATCATATTTTAGAGTGTAAGTTTCCATTGGATGCTTCAGCAAGAGTGTTGACTGAAAACTTGTGCATTTTTACAGTATTTTGTATTAATTTAGATTTCTGCAGGCAAGTTTTTACATAAAAGAATGCAATATGAAAGGAAGTTAGAAGTCCCCAGACTGAAACAATGAGTAAGTCAAGCCATTGGCTGTGCACCAGTAATGCTGAGATGCCTGTCTCACCTTTAAGTTGCAAATGAAATTTTGCCTCATGTTGACTGGTGGCACATTCAGACATGTCCATGTGTCATTTCTTTCTTTGGAGATTCTTTTCTGCACTCTTTCTTTCTACTGTAGCTGCATTCAGCAGCTTTCTGGATTGAACAATTTGCTTGCAATCTCTTCTGAAAGTCATCTTCTTTATATCGTCGTGGAGTATGGGCTGTGGGCCTGTTCCTTGCAGCATGCAGGCCCCCAGCTTTTCTTAGGCATCTGCTAGCCTGACTGCTGCTTCAGTCGCGTATTTACTGTCTCTCACCCCACATCTGCCCCATCAGAAACAAACCTGAGCTGGGTTTTCTTAAGTGTTTGTGTGGACACGTGACCCCACGTGCAGCTGTCAGGACAAGGTGGAGAGGCCTTCCTCCACCTTCCTCCCCACGGCCCAGCAACACAAGTGGGTCATTACTTGCACAGTAAACTGAAAGCAAATAAATTAACTAGCTTATCTGTAAGGAGATTATTCAATGCGCTGAAGGAGAAAGAGCTTTGAACACTAAAAGGTCAGGACACAGGAACTGAAGAATATGCCCTGAGTGCTTTGAAACTTCACGTTAGTATTTTCTGGTTTTTTAAAAGGTTAGGTGTCATTCACATGCAGAAGTTTCTGTGAGCATTGGTTCTGTGCACTGACTCCATAAGTGTGGAATTAAGGAGTCAGCATGGGCAGTACTGCAGCTGTGGAAGAAATAAGGCAATGCTGTATGGCCAAGCTCTTTCACTGTGGTTTGAGTGGTAAAATAGGTATTTAATATATCTATATCTATTTTATATGTAATAGATAAATTACAAGACAGCTTTAGATTTCCAGTTTTCATTCATAAAAACAGGAAAGATACGTAGATACGTGATTTGGATTTGTTGTTTTAAGTTTGGCTTGGGACTCTGATTTCTAGTACACTAGGATGGACACATTTGAGCTGTTACGTGAGTCCTGAAATTCAGCCACAGATGAATATATTCTGTTTCCTGGCCAAATAAATTATTCCATACAGAGCTGTCTTCTGGCCTGCTTCTGATATGCAAGCTAGCTTGATTAAAGCTAGTTTGGGACTCTCTACCGTGAATTACAGGGTAGATCTACCATGCCTCACTCTAATAGCTACAATTTTTCTTTTCATTTCTGTTCTTGCAGGCCACATATGGACAGAAACAAAGAGCAATATTTTAATAACAACTGTTATCTTTTGGCTTTTTTAAATGATCTGCTAATCAAATTGAAAAAGTATCTTCCTCCTTCAAGGGAGAAGCCCTCCCTGTGTTGCGCAGAGCAGCATGAGTGAAATGAAGCCTAGATGGGAATCTCTGCCTCTGCTCCATGCATTTGGAAGCCTCCAGATTGATTTGATTTATTATGGCCCACAAAACTCTGGTATCAGCTACAACTTTTGCCACATGTCATCTATGTTGTTATTAAAAATCAATTCTCCAGAGAGAAAATGTCTTCCGACTGATAGTGTGCAATCTGTTATTGTCAGTTATTTATTATCCATATTCTCAGGGGAATTTAAAAGAGAAAACATCAGCAAAACCATTTCCACATTTTGGTGGTGGTTTGTTTTTTTTTTTTTAATAGAAAGGATATAGAGATCTCATTACCTTTGGCTGTGCATGCCTTTGAAGGTAACAGACCCTTCTCATACAGGCTTCTGTCTTCCAGTTTCCTTATGTTTTCTTTAGTCTTTTCCTCTCTATAGTAAATAAAGTAAATATATATTTGAAAATCAGAGTAATCATAGATGTATGATGAAGTTGATCTTTGAGAGATATCTGGTTCTGTCGTCTCTCTCTTACACTTTTCAGCACAAGCCCAATTGTGAAAACTGCAGAATCAACATGTTTATATTTAAGCCTGAATATATCAGTGGTTACACAATCAGGCCTTTAATCTTCAGTCTTCACGTAGCTTATCCGTAACAGCAGCCAAAGTGTGCTGGGGAGCAATTTCAACATAAAGTCTTAAGAATTTTTTTAATAAGCAAAAGTTGATATCAGTAGGTTTTTGCACCAAAGCTATTGCAGTGAAAAATTGTGGGTTTGTTTTGGATTTTTTTGTCCAAAGCTAGTCTTTTTAGAAGCTAAATTTAAACAGATTAAAAAAACTGGGATTGGGACAAAGTAATGATAAATATTAGAGCTCTCTGGTAGACCTGAACTGATTATTTTATAGATTATTTTTATTGTATGAGAAAGTTGAACATTTTTTCCTGATTTAATTAAGAGGCAGAGTCCAGAAATAAAAATACTTCTCAGATTACTAAGCAATTTTCCATGTTATATTTATGAAAAAAAATTATAAAATGAGCTATAGAATATTCTACTAACATGAGGTATTCTAGTTTTACTGAAAACGGGTGGATATTTACTGCAGTTCAAAGCTCACACAAACATAATAATATGTATGATGATAAAGCTACCACTAATACTCATCAGGCACAACCTT